TAAATTCATAATTTTAAATCCCACGGACCACTCATATGCTGACTCTCTGTAAACCGCTTAGAGAGGCCTGAAAGGCCTATGAAGCGGTATATAAGTCTACTGCTATTGCTATTGCTATTGCTATGTTAGAATTTGCATTATGAGAAGGTGACCTTAAATGCTAAGAATCACCTCAGACATAAAAATAAAATTATATTTAGTATAATTTAAGGGATCTGTGAAAGTTTGTAGACCTTAACTTTGGTGCCAAACAAGGAGTTCAAGAACAATTGTAGTCAGGCTTTCTCTTACAGATGCCACTTGTTTGTCTACACACTTTCTTCACTGAATGCCTTCATTTTCCCATGGAAAACTGAATTTTTCTGATTCAACCCAAATTTACACATTCAATATTGGGGGAGCAAAAATGTTGTCTGTGTGGCTGTGTGCATGAGATAAATACAGCCTAAGAAAGGTAGGGGGGGATGCTCCTTCTACACAGGTGATGCACAAAGTTTACAGACATATTCATACATACGGACTTCATACATACAGACATCAGCAACAGAGTGGTCAACGCCAGGAATGCTCTACCTGACTCCGTTGTTACATCCTTAAACCCTCACAACTTCAATCTTAAACTGTCTACCGTGGACCTCACCCCATTCCTTACAGGTCTGTAAAGGGGTCGTGCATAAGCGCACCAGCATGTCTACCGACCCTGTCCCCATTTATTTCTACTCATTTCTTTCGTTCATGTCCATGTTTATACTTATACCTGCTATCTTCTACATGTTTGACAAACTAAATAAATGAAAATACATATTTTTCCTTGCGATTGGGAATTTTTTTTTTAGATAAAAATAATCAATGCTCAAAGTTAATAAACAGCCTTGCAAAGGGATAAACAGTAGGTGTATAAAATGCTTTTGGAATTAACAAAAGGCACGAATTCTGCAATTTAAAAGACAAATCTTATCCTCATTTCTTTTCGTTTCCTTGTGTCCATGTTCATACTCATACCTGCTATCTTGTACATGTTTGACAAACTAATAAATAAATAAAATAAAATATTCCTTCCTAGGCAAAGGTAGGGTTCCCACAAGGTGAAGCTGGAATTCTTGCAGATCTACTGCTATAAGTATGCAGGTTTCCCCCACTTTTTTAAACAGAAGATGGAGATGACATTGGAACAAGCCTTCCAAGAGGGTTTTTTTAGGCTTAGCGTCATTATTTATTTATTTATTTTTATTTGTTTTCTTTATATTTTATTTTATTTTTCAATAAGTGCAAGGAAACAAGTGTGAAAAACACATGAAAAAATGGCACAAATAAATGGGCAGAATAAGCAAAACATAGCCATAAACACACAAAAAGAGTACATGTGAATGGGACAGTAGGACATCGACACCATCGCTATGAAGGGGAGCCTCCGTGACTTGGCCTTCCCCCTCTAAGAACCAGGAGACTCGCTCAAGAAACGCCCCACCTGGTATGAGGCCAAACTGTCCGGGTCGTCGCCAAGATGCCTCAGGCTGAGGACGCAGAAGGCGGCACGTTCTCGGTCCCACAGGAAGAGTTCTCCGCCGATGCCAAACATCAGATCCCACGGGAGGACTGGCCTGGTTTGCTCCGTCTCCGGCCCGGCTTCAGAGGCCTGCTCCTTCAGGCGATTCAGCACGGCATGGCGAGGCAGTTCGGCCCACCAATGGTCTCCTAAACCCGGCGACATAGCCGCCGCCGCCATGGTTACTTCAGCGAAGCGAGTTGGAACGTCGGTCGCTTAATTAGGCGGCTAAACGGATCTTGCCTGGCTACCTCAGACTGCAGAACTACAGCTCCCGGCGTGCATTTCGACGGCAACCATAGAGTAGACCCATAGAGTCAAAAGTTGCTTGGCGGGTTTTCACTCTTCTCTCCGCCCTCCGGTTAGAAGTGAATCCGAGAAGTTATGGGAGTTTTTCCTCCATCCAGTCCTGCAAAGGGGAAATATATTATTAAGAAATACAGTTTTAAGGTGCTGGCTTGGAAAGCAGGAAACTGTCAATTCTAGGCCTCCCTTGGCCATTGCTAGAAACCCAAGCATTCCCCAGCGTCAGACATACCTTATTGGCATGTAATCAAGTATCTGTAATAGTAAATTAACAGATTAACAGAGTTGGAAGGGACCTTATAGGTCATCTAGTCCAACCCCCCCCCCCTCAAGCAGGAGACCATACACCATTTCTGACAGATGGCAGTCCATAATGTTTTTTAATTTTTTTGAAAGCCTCCAGTGATGAAGCTCCTACAACTTCCGAAGGAAACTCTTCCGTTGGATGATTGTTTTCACTGTCAGAAAGTTCCTTCTTATTTCTAGGTTGAATCTCTCCTTGTTCAGTTTCCATCCATTATTCCTTTTCCAGTCTTCAGGTGCTTTGGAAAATAGCTTGACCCACTCCTCTGTGGCAGCCCCTCAGACATTGGCATGAAAGCCGTCCAGATGACTTTGGATGTGTCACTTCTCAGCCCACTCCACTTGTCCTCATTGAGGGCAAAAGAGGAAGCAGGAGTAATAGATACACAGGTAGTCCTCGACTTACAACCACAATTTAGCCCAAAATTTATATTGGTAAGCAAGACATTTGTTAAGTGAATTTTGCTCCATTTTAACTTTCTGGCCACAGTTGTTAAGTGAATCATTGCAGTTGTTAAGTTAGCAACACGTTAAGTGAACCTGTNTGCTACTGGTTCTCCAGAACTGGTCAGAACTTGCTGAATACCACCTCTGATCCATACAAAACCAGAGATAGCCTTGTTGCGATCTGTTTTTATGTTTCTTTGGTGTTATAACTCTCTTAAATACAATTGATTCAGAACAAGAAAAGGTTACCTTATTGTGTTGTCGGATGTTAATAGCACAACATGAGGCTCCAGAGTCTCACTGGGGTACCAAGCAGCATGCTTCAGGGTCAGAGATGATGAACTGGTGAAGAACCTTTCAGCAATAGGTATAGTGCTGCAAAACACATGTCTGCATTTCAGCCACAAAAGATCTACCATTCAATCACCTGTTCCAATGCTTTAACCAGCAGCTTACATGTTTATAATGACTATGCTATGAAAAGATTTATCTACTGACTTTTGCAGGCCAACCTGCTAATTCTATATCTCTGCTATGTCAAAGATAGAATTAGAATGACTTGATATTTTTTGGACTGCTTTCCCAGTTAACCCCCATTCCAAATTCTCCCCGCAAACTCAATTTAATGCTCCCTCTCAAGCCCAGTCCCAAACTGCTTTCCAGAACACTTTCATGAGAAATTCTCTCCAAATGTTTCTACACACCTGCTTTTTCATTGAAATCTTTAGCATCTACCTCCATACTGTAAGTAGGTATACATGAAATGATGGTGCATTTCCAAACCAAAGTTCCCTATGATGATCCAGATAAAGCAAGGCAAACGTAGCACAATAAGATACAGCACTCCAAGGTCTGAAATATCCACAGCTGGACTTTAGGTCAAGTCTAACAAGGGTTATCCTCACTAACTTTCAGGCACCTGTTTGAAGCAATCTGAACTACTGCTTTTCATAATGCAAATCAGCAATGTTCACAGGAGGAGTCAAAAAAGACAAGATAGCAGTGGCCAAAACAACATAATCCAATCACTGCCTCTGTATATGTATGTGATGTCAGGAAGGGAATGGATTGCACTACTGCATCTCCAGTCTTGTCAGTTTGATTCCCACCTTGGAGATGCTATTAAATAACCCGCATAACTGATAAGGGTCTCTTTAAATATTGGACAGCCAATATTGCTGGCAAACAAACTTCTATCCAGTGGCACCACTACATTATAACAATAATCTTGAGGCACTCAACATGATAGAAAAAAAGAATTGATAAAGCAATCTTAGGTGATTCTAAAGCTGATAATCAAGATGAATGGAAATTCTACATACCTACAATTAATGGTTGATTTTCCACCTTCAAATTCAGAATTCTTTCCCCAACGTTTAGGTAACTCCAACACCATTAATCCTTTTGTTCCTATGAGAGCTACATGCTGTTGCAAAGGACTTAAAACAGTTTGATACACTTCAAAGAAGGGTGAATTTATGCAGAGAAGAATCTAAAAAGAAAAACAATGTGCAAAGTCACAAACCACAATCTACAAAACATAATAACTGTGTTCACACAAAACAAAGCTTCTTAGTCATAGTATTGCTAGTAACTGCCAATGTTTAAGGATCAGTCTGCAAATAGATTCATAACTACAATACATGAATATGAAGTTGGCAGTCACAAGCAAAAGGAATAATTTATTCTTCCAGCTGACACAGATGTGTGATGTATAGTCCTTGGACACTATAGAAAACAATTCCTGGTTTGTCAATGAAGCTTTGCACTGTCTCTATGTACCACTTTGGATTCTCCCTGTTTAGCAAAAACCAAACTGCATTTCTCTGTCTCATCAACTTATGTAAAATACAAAGAGAAAAAAATTACAGGAAAAAAATCTCATAGACTTTTTGGAGGCTATATTGCTTCACACTACAGGCAAGATCAAGCGTTCACATTACCATTTTTTTCATGCATCTTCAATCAATCTACCTATCAACTAACTAATATTTATACTACTTTTTATCTAATTGATGAGTCACCCCATAACAAAGTTCAAAGGAAGGGCAATTGTTAATAGTTTTTAATAACATTTTAAAACCTATTTGTTGGGTTTTTTAAGTATTGTACGCTTCCCAGGGATCACTCTCTTGTGAGATGGGCAGCTATACAAATACAAATAAATCAAATGTTGCAAAAACAACCCATGTTGGCGCAGTGGTTAAATGCAGCACTGCAGGCTACTGCTAGATCAGCAGGTCAGCGGTTCAAATCTCACCGGCTCAGGGTTGACTCAGCCTTCNTCCTTGACAAATTGGATAGTTTTATGAGCAATGAATCTGTCACAGTTACTCAAAAGGACTCAAGTTTTGTCAAAGCTTCCATATTTCATCAAATAAATAAAAAACTGATCCAAAATTTGTTCCTAGGGGATACATCAATATGACAGTGTAAAAAAAGAGCAAACACAGTATCTTCTATTGTTTTCATACATGCTGTACATATACACTTCACATTTATATTTAGTTTCAATGTGATCTAATGAATTATTTTAACATTAAGTGTAATAAAGGCCAGTGCAATGAATGACAATTTTTGTTGAAACAAACAACAGCAAAAAAGAAATTGTGTTCTGTCTCTCTCACATTCACAAACATACTTGGTCAGGATTTTTATTTTTATCACACAATTTGAGGTTGAAATAAGCAGTGTTGATTTAGTTGTTAAATAGAATGTTCTTCTAATGTTTGGAATCAATCCAACACCAAGAATTTTACAGAGAATGTTCCCTCTCCCCCTCTCTCCCCCTTTCTCTCATCAAAATAGCGAGTTTCCCTCCAACAATTTAGGTCAATTTTGCACAAGTATTATCTGCATATAAGACACATTTATATTTTTTTCTTCTTTCTCTATTTTTAAATTACTACATTATATTGTTAATGCAATATTTTCTGTTATGACTCTGAATCAGTGGTGGGTTGCAGGCAGTATTCCCTGGTATGAACATACCAGAGCCAGCCCGGAGCACCGGATACCATTCTGGTACAGTGCTCCGGAGAGCCCACCAACCACCCGAGCTCCTTACCAGTGTTTAAAGGAGTTTGCGCTTCCACGCAAGCACATGGCGCATACAGCACCTGCGCCACACTCCAGGGAGCAGCTGGAGTGTTGCAGAGCATCACGAAAGCACTAAGACACATGCACGTGCTGCACACATGTGCATGCATGCTGTACGCATGCATGAGGATGCCTGTGGCCCCGTTCCAACCGTACCGGTTGGAATGGGATTTAAAACCCACCACTGCTCTGAATCTATATCCATTCATCGGTCTGTCTTTCTGCCTGCCTGTCTTCCTGTCCGTCTTCTACTATTTACTGTATGTCTCCTCAACTGGATATATGTCAGGCCTGTCCCAGCTTAGGCATTTAGGAAAGGAAGACCAGTGACTCCATTGGTAGTGAGAGGTATATTTTTACTTAAAATCAAGTGGTTACAGCATAAGCAAAGCCAGATCTGAAGATTCCCGCATAAATCCATTGATTTTTCCTTCTCCCAAGCCCTCCCCCTTAATCATCCTAGTGGTGTCAAATAAGATTCAAATTAGATGTTTTGGTAACTGTCTTAAGATTTGGCATCTCTTGGCTGAATGTTTGCATTCCGTTTCATGCCTGCATCCTTGGATCTTTCAACCATTGTCTCTGGATGGCACATCTGGTTAGTGTCATTCCTCCTTCCTATGTCCCCCCTTCCCCCTTCCCAATATCATAGCTGTTTCATTTAGTCACCAATTAATAATCCACAATGTAACACCAGTAAAACCTAGTGGATAAGAAATTATCTTTGGCTGTCTGTAAATCCTCCTGAGGTTTCAATTAAAATTAACTATAAAAATTTAGGCAAAATGGTAAGGGATAAATGAATTGGTCTATATCCAGTTTAAGTGAGTTAAATCTGTTTTAGAAAGATGGATTCACTGAGGAGAATAATTTTGTTGACTTTTCAGTTTTTATATGCTTCAAATCATGGCTCCATTTGTTTTCCTCTGAATTGGGGATGAAAAACATTCCTCCTAACATCTACCTACCTACCTACCTACCTACTTACCTACCTACCTACCTACCTA